TTTTGTTTTCTTCATTTTGTGTTAATCAGCATTAGCTGTACAATTTGAAATAAAATATCTGTCTGTATCCTTTGAAACTGTCTAATGATGGCTGGCAATTTATGGCAACTATGTGCGTCTCCGCTGCATAATATTAAACTGTGTTTTGAAGTCTTAGATCTTCAGAGATTTTTTATTACTATTAAAGTCCCACTACGAAAAAGGGAACAAAAAAAGTGTTGGATAGTGACACAATGGGGTTCAATGAGACGAATACAACCATATCACTAGCTAATTTGTGATGCAAAGGCACAAATCCAATTTGTGAGATGGCGATGATCTTTACCTGCTCATGGCCATAAGATTCTGCTTTTCTGATCTTTAAGCTCAGATTTTATGCAGAAATATAAACATTTTCAAGTGCAAGTAGCCTAAAACAAGGAATTTTCATCAGTTGAACTAAATATAACCAAGCCAAGAAGACTAAAGATATAAGAGAATTTGCATATTTTTCCTTTTATAGTTGGGAAAATTGCAACAGTGGTCCCTAACCTTTCCAATTTTTGTAAATTTTACCTAAACCTTCAATTTGTGTCAATGAAGGTCCCTAACTTTTCTGAAATAAGCATATGGAGGCCAAATTGATGGAATCCATCCATTTGACTTTTTGATGACCAGAGAATTTGATTTTCACTAAATTGTAAAAGAGCAAAATAGTAACTTAACAATTTTAACATAAAAATAAATTAAATAAAAAAAAGAAGGAAAAAAGAAAAATATCCTCTTGTATCTTTCTTCCCACCCCATTCCACCCCTACCCAAAAATGGGGAAAACCAATCTCGTCACCATCGCCACTTACTGTTGCCTCTGTCCCTATCCCAAACTGACTCCACAAATGCGTCCAATGCGGTCAGCAAAGATTGATATTTTAAGGGTAATATGATTGCTATAAAGGCAGTGAAGGGCGTTGAGATCGAAGTGGAAGCCTGCCGTGAAAGTGGAGGAATCCGGTGGGTCGGTTGTAGTGAATGTACAAAGAGGGAGGAGTGTTGTTTGCAAATAGAAGTTCTTGATGTTAAGCTTCACATAGCATGGGGTGGTGGGTGTGTCAACTCGAGCCAGATTCATCGATTTGGTGGCAAAAGGAAGTTTAAAGGTAGATTTGGGGATTTTACTTCGTGTTGTGATTGTGATTTAGGAATTTTGCTTTTTGTTGGAATTAATAGTAGTGGTCGTGGGCGATAGCGGTGATGGGGGTTACGATGGACGACAATGGGTAGCAGGGGTTTGATTTTGAGTTTTACTTTTTGTGATTGTGATTTGGAGATTTTGCTTTGTACTAGTGGTCGTCGGTGATGATGGTGATGACAAGTGCTTGTGGACGACGATGGGCAACAAAGGTTTGGTTTTGGGTTTTGCTTTGTGTTGTGATTGTGATTCTAGGGATTTAGCTTTGTGTTGACTATGATGGTGGTGGCCGTGGGCGATGGTGGCAACGACGGCATGTATCAGGTGGGTTTGGTTTTGGGTAGGGGTAGAGATGGGTTTGGATGGGGATGGTGTAGGGGTGGGTGGAAAATGATGATGATTTTTTGTTTAATTATTTTAATTGTTTTTATATGGAAAGAGATAAAGTTGTCATTTTACCCTAATGTAAATAATTAATAGTCTGGTCAAAATCATTTTATTGATTAACTAACGGAAAATTGGATGGATTCCATCCAATGAACTCCGATGCATATTTCAGAAAGGTTAGGGTCCTCTGTTGACACAAATTGAAAGTTAGAGTAAAGTTTGCAAAAGGTGAAAGGGGATCGCTGCTACAATTTTTCCTTTATAGTTTGATTTGTAATTACACTATTTTCAAGAAATTTGGCAACAATGCCAACAACCAATATTAACATCACAAACATGAACTTTGAAAACAAATTAAGCTACAAGAATCATCTTTTCACAACTTTTACGTTATAAATTAGTGATTGCAAAATACTAGTACTGATCATTTAACTATTCAAGAGTTTAAATTATAAATGAGTATTTAAATTTATTCGTTCAATAGCTTAGACACTTTTTATTGTTCTTTTACAAGGAAGAAATAGTAAAATGGATGGTCACTAGACGTTAGTAATAGAATTAAATCTATAGTAATTACATAGGCATGCCACAATGGTACGTCAGGGATGAGGTGATGCAAAATATCTTCATTTTCTCAACTAAATTTTAAATTAAAATAAGTAGCTAGAAAATAATTAATTATCAGTAAAGAGACAGTTGCATCACTCTGCAACATGAACTCAAGCATTATGAATGTCAACAGTTGTTTTCATGAATAATTTGAATCAAATTGCTAAGATTATTTGGATTTCTACAAGTGGCCCTTTAGTTTATAGCTCAAATTGCCTATCATCCTTACCTCTTTGTACATCTTATATACCAATAGAGGTCAACGTGTCATGTACGTTATTTCCCCCCCTTTTTTTTTAATATAAAATTCATCAAAATTATTATTATTATTATTATTATTATTATTATTATTATTATTATTATTATTATTATTATTCATAAAAGTTCGATAAAATAAAAGGTAATATGACACTTTGATATCACTTGTTATGATACAAAGCAATACCAATTTACTTTGATATCGTTTGTTAGATTCAATAAACGAGAGTAGTATGACAAAATGAAAATAACGATAAATTAGAACGCCAAGATTTACGTTGAAAAACACTACTAGCAGAAGCTATGAAATCAATATAAGATGAAAGAATACAAGATTTTATGTTTACAACTTGTTCTAAATCGCAGTAAAGAGCTACTATATATAGAGTACATGTCAAATCATAATTATAGTATTTTAGATGGAAAGAGCATTCCAAAATTTATCAAAATGTGAAATGGGTTGTGAGCCCAGCGGTACCGGCACTAGAGCACCCAAGCTCGTAGCAAAAAGCTTTTGTCAGCCACCAGACGTTGTCTCTGAATTAAATCCGTTTATTTTCTCGAATTGAGGCCTAGGCACCCAAATAGAGGTGCTTGGGTACCCCACCTTTGCCCCAAATTCGCCTTTATCCATATTTTGACTTCCTCTTTCGATCAATCCATCAATACGTTTGATGTGCTAAAATTTAATATAAATGATACAATTATACTTTGTGTACATTAAAATTACAACCATAAATGCTAAAAGTAATGCCAGCAGTTCACATTAATATGAAAACAATTATTGACACATAACATTTTAAGATGAAACATGAAGATTCGTTTTGCCATCAAAGTCCAAAAAGTTTAAGCGAACAATTTCATTTGTTTGCAACTCAAGTGAGTAGTCGAACTCCAAGATTTTTATTCTCAAATCATCCACCAACTTGCAGGATATCTTAAGAGAAATATCTCATGTCACTTAAATTTTTAAAAAAATAATCAATATATAAAATATAAAAATGATAATCAATATGGTCAACGTCATTTAATAAAATTCATAATATATCTTACAGAAAAAAGAAATATTCTTCTAAGAAATCAATCAAAGAATTATATACATTAAAGCAAAACCGCGCGTGGATAAAATGGCGTGCAAAATGTCTCGACAGTTGACCTCTATCTTTGGCCTTTGTTTACATGAAAAGCCAATTAAATTTGAAACTTAACATCATCTTAATCAGCGATTACGTCCGAAATTAGTATAATTAGAATGGGATGTCTCAAATGATGCAAATAAAAAGAACTCTGGTCCTAAACTATTGATGAAATAATGGGACATTTTAAAGTACAAATTAACTGTGTTCACATTATAATGGCATGTTTGTGACACACGACACATCTAGCAAATAAAGGATATAATTGAATGTACATAGTTATCTCTAGCTGTTTAAATTTTTTGATGAGGTGGTTAACATGAGTTTCGGCGTCATCCATTAAAGAAAATTTTTTCACACATCAAACGTTTGATCCAAAAGAAACGAAGCAAGAATTGCGTTATACATCTAAACAAAAGAGAATAATATACAATGTAGGTTT